ATCTAAATAATCAAATTAATAATTTTATAACTATTTAAAGTACGAGTACAATTATAATTTTAAACATAAACTACCCACTAAATAACTAGGTAGTAGGAAAATGTTGTACAACTTCTGTATGTACCTAGTTATTGTTCTGGCAACAATAATGCATTTGATTGTAGATTATTTCCAATTAATTTACGAGTATAATGATTTAATTTCAAAGTAAAAAATACAATTTTAATAAAAATAATTATTACAAAATATTTTTAGATATTCTTCAAAATATAAATTTTTATAGTTTTATAACATATTTTTTATTCCCTAAGGAATTATTAACATAACATAGAGGTTTTTTTAATGTTAATAAATATTTAAAATATAAAAGAAAGCATGATATACAAATATTGAATAATAATCAAGTATCAATATTAGTAAAATTTATGAAAATACGAGATCTCGTACATTGTTACCAATGGACTATTGACCATATCAATACAGCAGTTACACATATTACAATTAAATATTGATATTCAATATATTTTATTTATACCAGGATAGAAAATTAGTTAAATAAAAAAACTAAAAATGATACACGTGTTTTCTTCTATTTATCTACTTTCCATTTTTGAGTCATTTTCGTTTTTGTTTACTCTGTAACAAATATAATAGCACTTTATTTAGTCAAGTTGTACGGTGATGAAAAAAATATTGTAATAATAGTGATTATATGTCGATACAACTAGATCTTTGATTAGTAATTAGATTTTAACAATGTTTCAAGAATTTTATTGAATTCTGAAGTCATAATTTCTAAATATTTACTTATTTTCTATAGCGATTTGACTACCTGTAGTTTTTAACTATTTGTTATCAATTAAACACAATGATTTTTTCAATTTTGTATAAAAATGTAGATAATTTAGTAATCCATCAATAATAATTGAATTACTAATTTTATAAAATAGCCTAAAATTATATTCTACTTAATTTGAGTCAAATAATTTACAAATATGTACTTCAATATGTTTTTTTCAATCAGTTTAATCAATTTAAAAAATGATCCATAGGTATATGATAGGTACTATTTGGCTATTTTTATCAACCTATCCATAAAATTAAGGTTCAACAGTATATTTAGCATCTATTATAATACAAAATACGGTAAATCTTTATGCTAAAAAATATAGTTAGAAGATGCTTTAAGTTCTGTAATTTACAATATTGTATTTACATAAGATTTAATCTATGTTTTAGTTTATAATAATTAACAAATATATAAGCTAAGAATTATTCACAAAACTTAATGAAATTAATTAAATGATACATTAAATATAAATAATTGAAATGAGTAGTTGATACATTACATTGTTATTAATACAGGTAGATATTATTATCGCTTAATAAATACGAGTATAATAGGTGGAATATAATTTATTTTTTACTAGTCTATATCTAAAATATATAATATACTTAGTACAGACAATTTTTTTTTAAATATTTAAAGCTCAGGAAAATTAATAATGTGTGATTATGAAATTAATTGATCTAGAAAGGTATAGAAATAAATATAATAAATTAAAAATGATTATTTTCATGGAAGATGAATACCTTATTTGTATTTTTTACAATATTTTAAAATTATTTATTTTTTAGAAAAATGTTAAACTACTCGCAAAAAATAAATGTAGGTGAATATACTGAATGTAGGTGATATAGATCTTTAAAACAGATCTATTTAAAACAAATGTATGTTTTTGTATTTATTGCTGTGAATACTTTCATACTTAAATCAATTATGAAATCCACAAAATAGTAAAATTATTTTTTTGTATTCTTTTACCTATAAGTTTTCATCGACAGTCATAAAAAAAAAAATTAATTTTACTTTTGTAACACTTTCTTAATTGTCATATTTAAAATGTGTACGGCTATAAGTGCCTTCATATAGTTATAAATTATGACATAAGACAGGTTATAAATACGTAGTAATATTAAAAGTAATCTTCACTCATAATACTTCGAGCAGTGACTTATATCGGGAGGGTACCTAGTTCTCTCTCACCCCCTCCCCGAAATGTTTTAAAAACTTAAAATTTATTTTAAACGCTTGTTATATTTTAATGGTGCTTTATGCTTATTTAGAATTTGAGTACAACGTCAAATCGTTTTGGAACATTCTGTAAATTAAATGTAGATAAGTAACTACTATGTCTTGTTAGTAATAGATAGTAATACATAGTTATATGTTAGATAGCAGTGGTAATTTAACTCTGTCCATAATAGTCACTCCCGAAAATATTTTCTGTATACACAACTGACTTCCAGCATACAGGAAGTAGTAGTACGAAAAAATACTATGAAATATAACTTTTAACGACACACAACATACGAATAATTGGCTTGAATCATGTGCACCGCTGTGGCGCGTCACCACGGTTATTGTAGTAAATCTCATTTTTATGAACGAATATAGTAAAATACTGAACAAAAAAATTTAATTTAAAATTATGATGAGTTTACAAACGTATATTGGATATTGGGTATAATATATAATGTGTTTTTCTGTTCTCAATAATGATTAGGTATCCCTATTGCATTTTCTGTTTAATCTTTAATATCTGTACATTATTATAAATTATTATTTATAACTTATAATAACTTTATCCTATACGGCAGTGGTTCTCAAAATGTTAAGCAAAAGGCAAATATTTATATTGTATATTACACTATTATATATTTATATTTAGATTTACTGTAATTTGCTTTTATTAAAATAATAAACACATTTTGTTATTTTTATTCATGGGAAATACGATTAATTTTTTTTTGTTTTGGGGATGCGTGAACCAAAGAAGTTTGGGAACCGCTTCTATATGGTATATATTAACTCATAAGTCATTTCATATACGTTCATATTTTAATATTTTGTAAGTTTTATTAGTCGTTGGTTACTCATATGTATATAAATAATTTTGATACTAATTTAAATGTAAAAATCATGTGAAATAGTTCTGTGGTGAATAATTATTAACTTATAACATATTATACTAAATATAGACAAATAATATACCATTATAAATAATATTTGATATTTTAGATAATTATTATTATTTTTCTAACATAAAATGTTATTTGGAATCTATGGGTTTTATACAAAGAAAAAAACTAACGGAACTAAAAAATATATTAACTCATTAAATAATAGTTACTTTAAAAAAATAGTAACTCGTTATATAACTTATGTTTAACTTTTTAACCCGTTGATGCCCAGTCTTGAATAATGTAAATAGGTATTTACCTTTTTTGTTGTTGTGTGAGATATTTTCGTCGTCGATGTGCTCGTATGTGTCAATCGGAGGAAAACAACTACCAGCACAAGCTACCAATGTCTCCATAAATGCGGAGAAAAATACCTTCACATTTAAGTACTGATGAAAGTCTAATAATGTTGCGCCCAATTGGATTAATCTATCATAGACACTGATGGAAACATTCATTGAGACTGTCTTGGTTGACATGGTGTTATTATAAAATTTCAGTTTCTAACTATTTTATAGGTAATAAAAAAAAACACATGAGTGTCCCTACGACTCTCCACGTCTTACACAAGACACAATTGACGGCGAACTACCTAATCGAGCGGTAGTCGATTAATTTTTATACATATTCCGGTATACCATGCCACACATAGACCAGTATTTTACGCGTTGTTTCCGATTCTACTGACACAATAATATCCATATATACATATATGCATGTTCACCTTGAAGGCGCACGAAGTATGTATGCGCTGCATGTGATTAAATTCTTCAATTTAGCCTTGATAATAATTTTCGAGTACAATTGTATATCATCGTCTGGTATGATCCAACTGGACGATTCGAATTAATTCTATACCATACATTCGTACATATACAATACAGTACAAACATTTCTTATGTTAATTTTTTCTAGAGTAGTTAGTGTTCTATGGTTTTTCGTTATAAAATATACGATATAACATCAATACATCAATATATATATATACACCAACGCAGAGACTAATTAATGAAACTCAGGGACAGAACATAATAAGAATTTGGTTTTCAATATGTAGGCAATGTTTCTAAATAACTACACACGTTAGTAGGGTAATTTGGGGGCTTCTGGGTGTCCTCCCCCTTAAAAAGTCCTCCCTAGTAACCCGCAGTATACTTATAATTTCCTCCTTAGAATACAACCCTCAGCACAGACAGACCTAACAAAAACCATGACCCTCCCCTTAAAATATTATTATTTTCAATTATTAAACACGGCCTTCCCCTTACAGTACACAGACAAACCTAACAAAAACCATGACCCTCTCCTTAAATTAATATTATTTTCAATGTTAAAACACGACCTTTTTCTTACCGTACACAGACAAACTTAACTAAGACCTTCCTCTTATAATACACCACTCAACACTTACAAATCTAACAAAATTCATGATCCTTTCCTTAAAATTCTATTATTTTCACTGATGAAACACGACATTACCCTAACCCAACACAAACAAACTTAACGAAAACCACTACCTTCCCCTTAAATGTAACCTGCAATACATAACCATGACCTTACTCTTAACCAACAAAGACAGTTTTAACTATAACCCTCCTCCCTAACAAAGCTTTCAAACCACACGCCACATATGCCTCTCCTAAATACACCTCACCAGCCCCGCTACGCGTCACCATCCGCAGATAATGGTAATACATGTAATATTATTTCACTGTAATAATATACATTTTATACAAAACACGATATGTCAAATCAGTTAATACAAATTTTTACAATACATTATCGAGAAAAATCGTAAATATCTATAATATGAGGAAAAAAAAAAACAAACGTCATAATAATTTCGTGCAGATAGATTTGTCATACGTAGCGTATAGGATAATCATAACTTAAGTAATTTTATTTAGTGATCACAGTAATTTTTAAGTATTGTTATTTCCATTATTATAATAACGTGTCAGTAGAAACATGTCCAAGTTTCATCGAAACCTGTCGAATTTGATCGGTCATATCCCCCTCCCCTGTCTCACTATAACAGTGTTATTATTATAGTACCGTACAGTATTGCTAGGAGCGCTGACATCGCATCGAACGATAGTCAAAAGATCACGCACAGATTTTGACTCGTTCATACTACATATTATATAATCTGGTCACACATTTTTAAATTCAGTACTTAGCAAGTATTTTTAAGGATATTCATGTGTTTTCCGAGTTCAGTGAACAAATCATATTGAAAATTCATTTAATGCGGTTAAAGTAAAAAAGGCTCGTATGAAATTAGTTAAAGCATCGGGATTTGTTGAAACCAGATCATCACACGCTCGTAAAATAGTTTGGTATTACAAGAAGAAAATCGATGATTGTTTTAACTATCATACATTCCTCGAATCTTCAAATGATGAATTAATAAATTTACTTAAATTGCTATCAGTTAATCACCCAATCAAATATAATCTGAAACTGGAATCTACTTTTAAAAGACCACATGTAGATAACTTATCAGAGACCAGAGCATTCAAAATCATAGCAAAGGAAATTTTTACGGATAAAGATATAAGAAATGTGATTGAAAAAGATTTTACAAGATTTCTTCATGAAGAAGACGAATATATCGGTAAAGGAAGTGGTTTCACACTCGAATATATGGATGGACTGCTTCTAGGTGTATACAAATAAACAACTATGAGTGGGTCGTCATATATCAAATTACCTAACGACAGTGTTGGACTAGTCCAGAGATTTATTTTTTAATTGAAACAAGGGCGAATTCACAATTAGAGAGTGAGTCAGGATATTTCAAGAGACCACTTATTAGAGCTGAAAGTGGATTATAAATGTATTCCTTGTAAGTAACAAAAAAACAATATTGTCATATAATATTTGTTTTTCAAGTTTATTCATGATTATCATTGTAAACATTTATCTTTTTTTGATGAAATTTTACATGGCGTTTGGCATAGAGATGTTTATTTTACTGTACAATTAAACCAGTGGTGCCATTTGGGAAGGGGAGAGGAAACTGGATAATTTTTCATTTAATTTTAACTTAAACTTATAGTCACACTTAAAAAATATAATACGTCTTCAAGAGGCCAATTTTGTTAACAAATATTCATTTTGGGTCAACTGACCTCTTGAACCTCTCCTAAATCCGTCCCTAGGATCAAAGTGACCTCGTTCACATGAAAAATCATAGTATTTATCTTCTTGAATTAGATTAAAATTATGTTATTCTTATCTTAATCTAGAAATATTGTTAATATGATTTAATAGTTCTAAGTATAACCGGTATAGTTTATACAATTTTGCTCTTTTGATCGAAATCAAACAAATATAAATACTTTGAAAAATTGAAATAAGTGTTGTTAACGGTCACATACACAAACACAATGATGATTCAATAATATTGGCTTTGAAAAAATATAAAAATAAAAATAAATTAATATTTGTAATAGAGTTCGAGTTTAGCGAGAAAAAATATTTTTAGTAGGCATTTATTGAATCTCACTCCAATATTATGTTGTTTAGGGGCCCATTGTAAATTTTTTGCCGGAGGCCCAATCATGAGCCTAACCTGACGATATTAGAAACAAAAAAGCAGTAATTAATCCACAAAATACAGACCAACAATGTTTTAAATAGCAATACTGACAAAACATGTCGATGAATATCGTAATCAAACCATGTTTATAGATGAAGAACATCATTACGATTTTCAGGTCATAAATTTCCAATACCTATTACAGATATAAAAATATTTGAGCGGAATAACTTGAATGTTTCAATAAACGTGTATGGTCTGAAACAAAATAAGAAAAATCACATTATTTACCAATTTAAAGTTGTGGATAAGGAAAAATCAGATCATTTTGATCTGCTTTTATTATGCGAGGGTAATAAATCACATTATATGTTTATTTTAAACTTATCAAGACTTATACGTACACAAAAAACGGCTTACAAAGAAAAAGTTCTTTTCAGCAAGAGATGCTTCAAATCTTTCGATGATAGGACTCATACATTTAAATTAAGTGGACAGGGATGAACACTTGATGAACATAAATTAATATGTGGATCACATAAACCAATTTTACCTCAGATGCCTGCACCCGGTACAACGCTAGAGTTCGATTGGTGGAGTTAGACTTAACGTCATCCGATAGTCATTTACGCAGACTTTGAAGCACTTCTGGTAAAATGTAAAGAAAGTAAAGGCAATAATACGTTAACTATTAAAAAGCACGAACCAATGAGCAATGGGATATTCATAAAGACTACAGAAAACGTTCCAATAGATCTGTTAGAAAAGTTCAATATACCACAAAAACCAATTATTTTCCATGGTAATGAATTGTATAAAATATAAGCAATCGCTTCCTAAAATAAGTTATATTACAAATTTTCACGATTTTGAACAACGGCAACATTGCACGAAGTATTGGTAAGTAGAATTTACATAATCATAATATTGAAAATGGTCCATACGGAATCGTATCATACGCAATCGTAACACACCCAATTAGATTAGGTTGCAACGCTCATATTTTATACAACGCTGTATAAATCGCGTCAAATAAACTATTTATTTAGATTTTATTATTATTTTTTTATTTTTTTATTAAGTACTAGCTGAACTACCCGTCGTTGCCGGGTTTAAGTATATAAATGAATGTAACCAACCTGCCAAGATTAAATTTTGTTAAATCTATTGAAATTTAAATTAATTAAGATTTTTGAAATAATATTTTATACATATAAATTTAGTTTTAAGATAATGATTATTATCATAACCTATTCGATAATATATAGCTTACAACTACCTGAACCTCTCTACAGTTTGGTATTCTGTTGAATACATATAGCATCTCACTTCTCCGAATATTTTACCTTTTGTCAATAAGTTCATGGTCTTTTTGACTTTTAACCGAAACACTCTTGCAATTATATCATGTCGATCATATGATCTTTGACCGGGAAGTAAGAGCTCTTTTATCTCGTCCCAGCGAGGATTACATGTAAAAGTAATAAAAAGGTCAGGACGACCGTAATGTCTAACGTAGGTCATAGCATCTTGTGTTCTTTCGTGCATGTACCTTGGCCCACCAGTAAAAGTTGACGGGAGTATAACCATTTGGCCTAACTGATTAGCTTCTATGTCTCGTCGTCCAATCGCATCTTTTAAATGAATATAACTATCTGCTCGCAATTTGGCTTGGTTGTTTTTGATGTAATTTAATCTTTCAGTTTCAATTTTGGCGTATTCATCTACCAAATATTGACTGAAAAGAGAACGATAATTAACTAAATAGCTGTCTTCCCCCTTATCTGACCATTATTCTATATGAGTAAAAACTTGATGCAGAGACAGTATTTTTAAGCGGTAACTTGGTTTTTGGATCGCGTTGTGGTATATTGATTGTATACCCATCATCCCCCCAACAAAACATTAAAGGATACTGCAGTGTGTCGTATGCTCGATGTATCTCACTGATACGGTGAAGTGAATTACTTCTGTTTTCGAGGATGATGTCTCTTCGATCAAACTGCTGTTCTACTAACACTAAAGCAACTTTATTTACTGTTGGTTTTTTATCTGCATGTATCACAACTTTAAATGACTCTGAAGGAGGTATTTTATTGATGGTAAATTGTAATGATCAATTGTAAATTATGCGGTGGCATGCCTAGTAAATCCAACGAGTTTAAAAACTCTGTTGGATAATTTACAACTTCAGTAGCATTGCAAACTGTATCTAGATTTGTATGACACCAAGTTTTCTGGTAACAAATTTTGTATCTTGAGATTCAATTCGTTGACCTCCACATTTTTTGCTACTTAAATTGCTCTTTCTGCCAGCCACTCATGATTTGTGTATTGTCTGTGTACACTGGGACATATCTGGTCAATGAGAGCATCTTGCGAATAAATGATTGTGCAGAAATCGTTCGGTAATTTTATACATCCCGTTTCATCTGTAGTAACTTTCCCATCTCCAATATCTAACAATTGTTTTGAGAATCTTTTGCACGCAGCTTTTTTTGATTGAATCGAAATCGAAGTATCGAAATCGTTCGCTATCTATCTTTATATATATTTCGACCATGAATTGTTGACAAAGCTTATGTATCGTAAAATAACTTAGTCCTGATCGCGTCTAATCATCAACCGATATGCATAATCATTTTTTGAACTAACATTCTTATTTGTTTTGGCACCTGATGCGGGATCTTTTTGTATAATATTTATGCAATTCATTTTCAATAGCACAGTTATCGACCTGGTCAAAAAATATTAAACCGATTTCAACCCTTTAAATTCAAAATTTCGAAAAATCATTTCTTAGTGCACGTCTACATCATAATAGCTATCTGTATGCCAAATTTCGGCCAGATCCGTCCAATGGTTTTGAGCTGTGCGTTGATAGCAGTCAATTAGCTTACTATTTTATATATACAAATAATTCATTTTCAATAGCGCAGTTATCGACCTGATCAAAAAATATTAAACCGATTTCAATCCTTTAAATTCAAAATTTCGAAAAATCCTTTCTTAGCGCACGTCTACATCATAATAGCTATCTGTATGCCAAATTTCAGCCAGATCCGTCCAATGGTTTGAACTGTGCGTTGATAGCAGTCAATCAGCTTACTGTTTTATATATACAGAAGAGATTTTATATTATATTTAGAATAAACTACCTATAGACATAAAAGATATTACAGTAAAACTTTTTGGAACATTGTCACATTTATAAAGTGTAAGTAGAAAAAATAAAAGAATTTTGTGAATTTGCTGAAGTCCAGTACCGTGATATTTTATCACACACTAAGACTAGATGGATATCATTATCTCCTGCAGTTGTTAGAACTATTTTGTTGTTTAATGGTTTAAAGTCTTATTTTTTTTCATAAGGTTTGAGTCCAAAAATATTAGTTGACTTTTTTCAAGACGTCACTACTCTTATAAATATGAAATGTATACAAAGTACACTCAAACTGTTCAATAATTATACTCAAAAAATTGAAGGGTAAAAAGTTTCGACTTTTGAATTAATTTATATATTTTTATATACAGTTAATTAAACCTACATTTTTTATTAATTGAGTTTTTTTTCTTAATAAGTAAATATTATAATACTTAATATAATAATAATAATAATACTTATTATACTTCATAAATAATTCTAGAATTTTAAAAAATTCTTGGTATTAGATCGTTAAATTCTATTAGTTCTTCTCGAATATACGGCCTTGATTTAAATTTTTTTGATAATCAGAGTAAAGTCACATATATGAATATGATTGTTTTAATCTTTTACCTAATTAAGACAACCTTATTACATTTAACATACCTCGTTTCTGTGATTGGTGGTAGAGCACTCTGTAAAATCTGTTATTGATTCCTTTAGTTTAATAAATCATAATTGTAAATCATTTTTAAGCATTTTAAAATTTGATTATTGAAACTTATAAAAGAAAACACTACTTATATAACTAATAACCAATTCTATCATAACCTCAATAAATGAGTAAAAGTACTGTGGCTAAACTATACACTTGGGGGTTATAAAGTCAAATATAAAATGAGGCCCCATACCCAAAAAAGTATATGGTCTTAAATAATCCAAGGTACACCGCTTCCTACCTTCTCATAAGATAATTAAAACCATTGTATCGTTGATAATTTCATAAATTTAAAAATAATTCCATAAGCTAACTTTTTTTAATATTTTATAAATGTATAAGTAAAAATAAGTGTTATTATTTCTAAATCTCTTTGTAAAAAGTTATCTACAAGGTACTCTACATAATATTGGGAAAAAAAATAACAGAGAAAGTGTTTACTTTGTATTTATACCGATCTACGAGTACACTCTACACACTATACTATAAGTCTATATTATATACTTGGTTAAAAATCATAGGTACCTATTTAATTCAATAGTTAATATCTTTAATAGATAAAAACCGTGATGGCCAATGACTAACTAGTATGTAACTAATCTTCAGTATTAAAATATTAAATAATATAAGTAGGAATGCCAATATGTCAACTTTATTAGGTATACAAATTACGAATTCACTAAACTATGGTGATAGCCAATTGATCAATGAATAACGAAAATATGAATGATGACTATAAATAATAACCATTCCCATAACACCACTCTCCGCTCATCGATTTGTGTTAAACAATATTTATAAATAGGAAGAAAATTGAATATTTAAAACACTATAATTTCCCCCCTCTCCGGCTTACTATTTAGCCATGGTAATCAATGTATTATATTAAATTAATACCTTATAGCATAATATATTTCATATATTATTAAAAATAACAGTATAATTGTACTTTGCAGCATAACTATCTCATTTTAAGCTATACGTAGATGTTTATAACAAAAAATCAATTTTTATTATTTGTCCACCGAGCAGCCACTAGCATTATTAGGTTGCACCATAGTTTCAATTTGCTAACTTAATCGCAAGTTGCGCCACTGTAAAGGTAGGTATACCAAGTACATTTTTAATTGCAACAATAGTGATATTGCTGAACGTTTGCTTCTTACTTAATTTTTCTGAAAAATTAGAATACAATTTAAAAAAAAAAACTTTTTAAGTCTTTTTATCTATCTAAATATCTAATAATAACTGTGCATATTAACTATGTGTTGATAATTGAATATTTAATTATTTTTTTAGAATTTATATTTTACTGATATACTCTGAAAAATGTATAATGTCTAAATAAGTATATAGGTATCTAATTATTTAATTTATATTTAAACCTTGGTAAATTAAAAAAAATGTATAAAACATAAAATACAACTATAGATACACAATAAGTCAGAAACTAAAATTGTGTACAATACGACACACATTGTGTAATACGCAATTTTAAATGGATACAATTAAAGACAGTGATCGACTTGAATAAGAACGCAGTGGGAAGGAGTATCTCTACTAAATTTTAAAAATTTTAGCGCCCCCCTACTATTATTACGTTATAATTGTAACGCTTAACAAATTTCGGGAACGTAATTTTTTTTTTAAGCAAACAGAGTCCTCCTAGTTTAATTTTGCCAAGTTGAGCACTGATTAAAGAGTGTGTTGTCGTTCTATATTATGGTATTTGTTTTTAATTTCACATTTTTTTTATTAAATTATTTTACATATTTTTAAAACTTAAGATGTATCATCAGCAAAATCAAAAATACCAATTATTTTAACTGTGTTACTCATTACTGTTAATGTTTGAAAGGGGAGTATGACAATATTCTTATATATGCAATACGAAAAAGTACAAGTATATATTTTAGCCTCTGCGACCAGTTATCACACATTAATGATCAATAATTCTACTGCTGACTATCAATAAAAAAAAATTTCATAACTGAATTAAGTTTTTGAAAGGTAGGCAATAAATAACATTTATATAATGAATGTAATTAACATATTCTTAATAATAAAATAATATTGAATGAGTGATTTATTTAAGACTAATCATTCTTATCAAAAATAACAAGAATATATTAATATATGAATAACCATGGCAATTGGCATTCATCTTTCATATAAATATTTGTTTTGAATTATACATTTTTATCATTAGTTAACTTTATTATTCAAGGCAGACATTATAGTCATTGAATATTTTATTAAACATAGGTGTAACTACCTAACTTAATATAATAATATTCTAGTTAACATAATTTATTTAAAAAAATATTTTAGTCACCATAGGTGATGAAAATATAACAATTTTTATTTTTACAATATATCAACAAAATCTTATGAAACATGTTTTCTTTCAATAGTATACATATGATTTATATGTTGGAATAAATTATAACTAAGATTTAAAATGCAAAGACAAATTTGCAGTATTTGAAAAACCCTACAAATAACATCAGCAAGTATTGAAGCTTCAAAATTATATGTAGTTCATCTATGAAATAATAGGTAGATATTTCAACTCTATTAAATATGAATCTTTTACAGCAAATATAGATGATTGTAGTAAATACTTTTATCACATATAAACCATCAATTAAGGTTTGTATTATTTATATAATACAAATAATATAAATGCAGGAATAAATATGTATAAAAAAAGAACATAAAATTTGTACATGTAGACTCAACAAAATATTATTATTATTTTAACACAATACAATCAAAGTTCACATTTTTTTAAAGATAATAAATATTGTAACTAACTTGATATAATGTAAAATATTGAATAGTCAAAAACATAAAAAAAATATATGTAATGCAATAAAAAAAAAAAATTCTGGTTAACTCAAAGTATTATTGCCATTTTTGTATCATTTTATACAATAAAATAAATACAAATCGACCAATTTTTTTTTCATCATACATCAATATGTTTAAACATAATTTATACAATAAGCAAAATAAAGATATGTGCATGAAAAAGCATGGGCTTAAAATAAATAAACATCATATTGTTGAGAGGTAAAAAGAATTTCACTTCTACAGTCTTTAGACCTGAGAGAAAAAAAATATAATAATAAGTGGTTGAATTCAACCGCGATTATCATGTACTTGTCAGTCTCTTCAACTTATCAGATTTTTAACAAAAATAGTTATAGGTACCTATATAATTAATAATTAAAAGAAAAATATCATAGTAAAAAATATATATTATTATTTTCAACTATAGTTGAAAGTCAAATTTTCGTATAGTTATATTATTTTTAGTTATTTTATAATACATATTATATTTTTATTATAAAATCAAAGTCATTTCCATCTCATTATTAAAATATCACATGCGTAAAAAAATTTTTAATTTTGAAAAAGAAAATGGATAAATAAAAAAAATTTGTTCATTTACGCGCAATGAGATCATTCTATCCAGAAATAAATTTAGAGTTTTTGAAATACTGCAACTTACACATAATAATAACACATAATGTATGGCAATTACATTTTAAGCCTATTAATATTAAAGGGTTTCCATACAAATAAAACACGAAAAATAGGTTTATGGATGTTTAAATTTTACATTGTTTTTCCAAAAAAAAAAAAAAAAAATTAAAATACTAAAAAAAAAATACATTTTTAGACTTTTAAGTTTTAATAGTGAATGTATAACATGTATCTAAATTTATGTTTGAATTTTCAACAAAATAACGACGATAAAAATAGGTATTTTTTATTTTTAAACATAACAATTACATTTTAACATATTTATTATATTGAGAAAAACAAGTGAATCCTTTAGTTATCATTTCGTTTTGCTTTTGATTTTGTAGTGTCTATGACCCGACCATCTAGTCCAAAGTCAGGGGTTCAACACTGCGTATAGTATATTACACCGATAGAATTTAAAAAATACAACAAAACAATTTCTTAAAATTCCAAGAGTTTTCAGTCGCAGTATGGATTAGGCTGAGAAAAATCTAAAAAAAAAAAAAAACCAACGATATCAGCGAACAGTTGTAAGAACACTTTCTATTGCGAAAAAATTTCGAAGAAAACAGCATTGGAATTAATTTGATTCGGGCACCTAGGAAAAAACGAAAAATAAAAAAAAATAAATAGTACAAAAAACAAAACGAATATTAATAATATAATAATGTGTCGTCGCCGATGGACTAGAGGATTTTTTTGACATAGTTTTTTTATCCCGCAAAAATCTCGCACGTAAATACATTACGTCAATATAATACATAGTATTAATATATATATATATATATATACTTATAGTATTTAAACCATGGTCGCATATACGCGTCGTACAAAATCGAGATCCCGGGAGACACGAACGAATAATAATAATAAAACATAGGCACAGAGATTTAATTTTTTTTCTTCAAATATTGGGTTCCGGGTCAGGCGCGGACCACCGTCTCTTGTTTCTACCGGTCTTGTCATCGTCCACCGTCAGCAGCTGCTGCTGCTGCTGCTGGTGGCGTTGAGCTTTCTGCACGACCGCCGAATGATGATGATGGTGTTGCTGGGGCGGCTGCTGTTGCTGTTGCTGCTGCTGTTGTTGTTGTTGTTGCTGCTGATGCTTGTGCGGGTTGTTGTTGTTGATTTGTTTCTGGTGAACGGTGACCAAGGACGGTTGCCGTCGCTTTCCGTGAGTCGCCGAGTCAGCCGCAGCGGCCGAACGTTTCATCGTCAGTGACACGCACACGTCGCCCACCTGCAACCGTTGGCAAGTCAGCCCGTACCTAGCCAACGTCTTAGCCGGGCTCCACGACGCCCAGCCCCGCCCGAACACGAAGTACGGGTGTTCGGCGCCGCTCTCCATTTCCACCTGGTGCGACTTGCACGCCCCTGGCGATGCCTCACCAGTGTTCTTGCTGTCCGCGCCGATCTGCGCAAAACAAACGAGGAATTAATATCACGTAAAACAAATATTTTTACAGTTCCGTTTCGAGTTCAAAAATCGAGGGCGGGCATTGTGCGGGCACCTAATAACGGACGCAAGCGTTTACATAAAAACTGTACACGTTTTACGTATATAATAGTTAGGGCTGGAATTTCGGTGAACTTTGCACCGTTTCCCAAAGCTTTCCGTGTGCGATGCACGTTTATTGACTATAAGTTCGTTCCGTCTACTCTTGAAACGACGATACGAACACCTAATTCGAATATTGGTGAATTTTCGAGAATTTTTTATTCCCAAATAATTTTCTTCATTCTAGTATTTTTTGATCCAATACTGAAATTTAAAATTGCATTTTAAGATTTTTGTACGCTTACGTGATTGTATATAAATATGACGAATTATTGAAGTAAAAACTCGTGTAGTCGTATTATATTATCGGACAACAGTAATGTTAAATCCTAATCAATATTTATTTTTCTAATCAATTTTATAATAGTTTATTGCTTGATATCAAAATTTTACTATATAAAAAAAAAATTAAATGCATTTTTTTAAGGTGTGTTATTTAGAATTTTTAGGGTATAAAAGCATTTTATAGGCTTCTAAAGATCATTAAAATCTTAGCTTTACATAAAATACTATCTACATTTATGTATAAACCGAAACTTGAACCGACCGTTCCAGTTTCATTTAATCAACTCCATTTTTCTATCGACGATCGTCGTTGGCTTTTATATTTTTCGAACTCTACGCGAATTGCATAATCAGATGCGTTTTCATTGCGATGTTTGTCGGGCGTCCATCAATATACGTATAGGGTGTATGCGCTTATACGCGTATTCACATAATAGTAATAATAATAATAACAATAATAATAATACGTTCGCGTACAATATAATGTTATGTGTGTGGCGGGAACAATGGAACGACAACCACTCCCACGTCTATTTATAATGTGATGCGCAACACGCCATCGCGGGGCGGCGGAGTAAAGAGAGGATTATCACAATAACGTCTGGAAAACAACTGCGCACGCGGCTGGAAGCGCCTCCGCGTGCGCGCATAAAGCTCATTGCGATCTACCGTTGTTGGACGGGACGGACGCCTCAACGAAATCACGGCTCCAAACACCGATGCACTTAACCACCTCGTACTAATCGAATTTCGACATTAACATATTGTAATGATTCGCGATGCTGCGATGCATACAACATACATACGCAACTCAAGTGCCGGCAAGGACAGTGATCACTAGTGACTTTTATATGTTTTTTTTTTTTTTTTTGGGGGGGGGGGTGGAAGGGACTAACGGATAAATCCGCGTAATATTTTTACTGGTCAAAATTTCAATATCACATTTGTGTCGTTGAGTCACCATGATAAAATGTAATGTACTGGCATTGTTGCCATCATTGCTCATTTCCTTCTCTGTACATCATTACGGTGATGGGTAAGTGAGTAGGGGCACAAGAAATGATTTTTGTTCGTAGAAATATCTCGCCGCTCCTCCTCTCAAAATGTATAAATGTATAGGCACGCCACTGGGATCGAGGAATTTCGTCGAAGGGTCCGCAACCGCCGCCAGACGGAGAAGAAAAACGATTATGTAAATTATAAAGAAAAAAACACGGGCGAACGCGGCCAGCATGTGTGTGTGTATTATTAATACGACATACACACACACACACACACACACACACATATATATATATATATATATACACGCTCGTTTCTTCGTCCTCTAACAAGGCCAACTCTCCGAATAGGATTCGTATTTCTCTTATTTTTTATCATCACCATTATCATCATTATTATTTTTTTGGCAATAATCTAACGCACACACGTACACGAACGTGTGTATGTGCGTATAACGTATACCGATGGCAGTTACTATCACATCGGTCAGTGGTCGGGAGAGCAACAGGTCAACAAACTCGATGCGCGCGCGCGAGAGAGATAGAGAGAGGAGAAGGTTGTCGGTGACGGTACGGTAAGGAGAGGGCTGAAGACGAGTATACACGGAGAATAGCTTTATTCTATTATATACAGACGTGATGGAGCGTGCGCGCGCGCGAGTACATTGTGTACGACGTACGTACACGCATATATGATTTTATTTTATTTTTTATCCTACTACAAAGACGGGAGGAAGAGCAGGACGAGGAGACTATGTGCGAGCGGCACGCGGAGAAGTGGCCAATCAATTGGTCGAGGCGCGGAGACGACGAGAGGAGCGGGCGGGCAGGTGAGAGGAACGGCGAGGCGCGACGAGGAAACCGATACGAGCCTACTACAACGACTACGTTAGCCTACATAGTAATGACCCTGCCATGTCTCAAGGACGAAATACCCCCACCGCCGCCGACGGATGATGTTCGCGCGCGCCCGACAGTACTACAGACGTTGTATACACACAATACACATTACACGCGAACACGTACGCACGCACACACGAACGCACGCACGCACATACAAACACACACACACACACACACACACACACACACACACACACACACACA